TAAAATTTCAACTATTCATTTATCTGATCGGTTGACAACAAGTTAATTGCCAAACAAAAAGTGAGTTTCAACCATTTGGTTATTTATTGATAATTCACCAGCTTTCTCCTTTCCCTACTTTTATATCTCATGAATTACTTTATTATATATTGCTTCAGAAGCCAGAAAGAAATTCAGTGAAGCTAAAGTGCTTATGTAGCCTAAAAATATTAAAGTTATAAGTTTCAATACAAAATTAACTGACCTATTGCATCAATTTGTACAGTGAAATGAAATTTCCATCTAATAAAGCCTAAAAATTTGAAAATATGAAACCTTTCGTTGAGAATTACACTTATGATTTCACCTACTAAAAATTTATCGAATAGTCTCTTTACCTACTTTCAAAGAAATTTCACGTATTATTATTTTAAGAGTCAAATATATGCTATAAGTTTATTTTTCATCCTTATTGTTTTATGTATATTGGGTGGGAAAGTAAACAATAAAGTTACCATGATAACATTTAGAAGGCAAATATTTAACTATAAGGCATTTTGAAACTTTCAAAAATAACAGCAGTTAGTCTTTTATCAAATAATACTAACTTATAGTATATGTTGATAGTTAAATAGCATAACCTACTAATTGAATTTTGTTTCATTTGCGACATTGAATTTCCGAAATATATTCTACTTAATGCATCCATAAATTATATATATATATATATACTGTTGTAGAAATTTTAGAAAACTCAATAAATGAATGTGCTTATTTGGCATTATAGCAAAGATTACATATATGATATCTGCCTTATTGTTAACCAAGCAATTTTTCAGATGTTATATTCAATCTGCCGTTGAACTGAGTGTTTTTGCGGAAACTTTGGCCTATAAACGCGGCTTAATTTTTCTAATTACATAAGTCTTTTCTAATTAGATATGACAAACTAAAAGGTAAATTACTATAATTAGATAACGAAATGTCATACTAACTCCAAGTGTATTAGTGAGTAAAATAATTTGCTATTTATGGAATACATATATATGTGTGTGCGTCGGAGGCCCAGCAGTAGAATGCTCGCCAAACACGCATGTGGTCCAGGATTCGACCCCCAGCCGACGCTTTCTCTTACCTCACTAAGCCAGTAATAAGACTGGTAAAGACGGAAGGTTGGGCATGAGGCTAACAACCCAATCCCGTTATATTAAACACCACTACTACTGAAACGTTAAGCCGCTAGTTTGAAGCCGTATGTTGTTCCCCTGAGAGAGTAAATGAATAAAATATATGTATATGAACCTCATATTATGAAACCATTCTGAGATCAGTCAGTTGATTTATTTTTGAATGAATAACAACAGCGGTCAAAGGTTATTATCAGTTAGTCACAAAATAAACCAAAGTACATTTAGCCATCCACTTGCTTTTGTGGAGCTAAGTACATACATCGTACCAGTAGGACATGACATAAACGAGCCCATGATCAATCACCAGCGTGGTTATCAAATGGAGGACGTAAAACAGTTGACAGTTCAATTCTGGAACACATTATTACTTCTATTCACACAGAGATTTCTTTCAGAGTCACATGTAAAGTACGACCAAGTCGTTAGAAAGAATTTTGTCTAGACCTTCCTCATGCAGCCGAAGCCTTAGCAATACATAAGAAGAAACCTGAACTTTGTGTTCAGAAACGTTTTATCCAGCTTCTTTTAGTACCATTTTTTGATTTTATTTGATCATAGCTTGATTCCACACCGTATTTTTGGTACAGGTATGGAATTTTCAGCATGTGATATATCGGTAGCCTGAATTTCGCAGTCCGACCATAGATTTCGGGTGTGCGTCGGTAGGGGATCGAACCCCGGACCATGTGCATGGTCAGCGAGAGTCCTAACTGCTGTGCCACCGACTCAGTTTTTTTTACAATAATCCTTAACCTAAATAACAAGTAAATTAAAACTTATGTCATCCCTATGCGTTCCCAGTGGAACATATGGATTCCAGCTTGAGCTCTGAAATAGCAATTTGCAGTGCTGTTTCTTTCCACGGGGGTAGGGAGATTTCCAGCTTCATACCCAACCTCTCCTCTTTGTCGGGCCAGCTAACAACTAGCTCATAAAAGTAAAGGTGGTATGCACCGGCCGGGAATCCGACCTCAGATCACGTGCATGGCTAGATTTTTGTTTGTTTGTTGTAAGTTATATATATGAATTTTAGTGTGAAATGTAAGTCTACCGGACGTCTTTTACATCTTGAAGGAGAGAGGTATATTGTATGTGGCATCACTACATTAAATGCAGAGAAATCAATAGACTGAGTATTGAAAGAATATGAAATATAGCAGAAGTTGGAAAAGATACCACAAGTTTTAGAAACAGATAAAAAAAATAAACCCATTTTTACTATTTGATGGGTATCCCTTAACCCTTTTTCAAATTCTTATATCCCCCGCTGACATTTAAGTCATGAATTCGCGAAAAACTTAGTGATTTTAGACTGACTTTTACAAATAAATGGCCACTACCGTTAACAACTTGGTAGCACTTTTTTGATTACACTTATAAACTATACACATATTTTTCCAAACGAAATAGCCGTTTGATATAGAATTCAATTTGGACTTTCCCACTGACTGACTGGACCAAAGTATTCGGCCTCTGTTGACACACTGGCTCCGTGTACAAATGCTTCTAAGATGTTTGAAGATCGAACTTGAAGTAATTTGGTGGATAGTGACTAACATTGGGGTCAAAGACGCGCATTTCGTTCTTTTTGGGGCTCGTTGACTAGATGTACTTGCATTCCCCATTGAGCGAAAATGATTTAGGTGGTTTAGTGAATAAGGCTTTGGCACCTGAAACTATAGGTACTTAGTGGGGGCACCATCAATGACTGGGGAATGCAGGTAAATTCAGCCAACGAGTCCCAAACAGGATGAAATGTGCGTCTTGGATTCCACTGCTAGTTATCACCCACCAAATTACTTCAGGAGAAATAAGTGTCTAGTTCCAATTCCATATTATTTGTCATGAAAACTGATGAATACGGTGATTTACTATTATACTCAATAAACAAAGCATCCAACTGGAATGCATTTTCCTGGTAGTATAAACCATAAAATCCCTACCCTCCTAATGCTTTCAATCATCCCCTCACCTTTTTAACATGAAATAATCTTTTCATTCCCTTACATTTCAAGTAGAACATAAGGCTTCATGCTTAAGCTTTGAAGTTTCAGTAGCAGCAGTGTTCATTTTTTAAGGGTTGTAGTTGCTAGCCTCACGTCCAACATTCCCTCTTTACTGGGCAAGGTTAAGGAGTGTGTGGGCCGGGAATCAAATACCAGGCCACGTGGTGGTTAGTGGGTATTGTATCATTCGACCACCGACGCACAACATGAAACTTTAAGCTAACTATATTTTAGCCTGTATTTCAAGTCATTTTAAAAATTTTCCCATTTTCGGATTAATTCGCAAGTGTCTTTAGTGCATACGGTGATCTGAGAAGCACACTGAATACACGACAGTGTGCATACTGTTAAAAATGAATATACTGAATCATGATGATAATTCAAATGAACTGTCGTCAGGATTTGACAGAATAGTTCTAAAATATTTTTTTTTAATGTTCCAATAATCTATTTCGCCCCGATTTACTAGTTTGACCTATGTGATGACTTTGAGATCAATTACAAATTTAGGCAGACCTAGAATAGTTGACCCTGCCAAGTTAAATAACCCAGAAAAATACCCTGCTATTGGAAGGCATTCACTTGCATGTAATCATGAGATAGGGTGGGGGGACAGGGTGAGAGTATTAAAAAGTAATATAGTTAGGTGGAGGTGGAGATGGGTTAATCACTGAAGCTTTGTTTATCGATTCAATACCGCACAAGTACAATCGGAATGAAGCAAGCGCCCATCCTGGAGAAATGGAAAGTGGCAGCAAACAGCAAAGGGAAGTTGGAGAGAGGGAAAGAAGGAACATATATAAAAGACAAACTGTGAAAGCGTGTGACTAAATTGAGGTGATTATGAGCAGTAATTTACGCTAGAAACGTCATCCACTTATCAGTGCTGCATCACTGTGTAATATTTAAAATAAACTTATCTAATACGGTGTACTAGTCAACGTATCGACATTATAACCTACATATTTGTAGCTGATGTAGAGTTTTCTGAAAATATATGGATATATATATCTTATACTCTCTACTTTTAATAAAAAATTTGATTATATTAAGGAGGCTACTTAGTTTTCTAGTTATTTTAACAAGGTGCCTAAGAAAAGTCGCTATCAAACTGTCAATCAAAACTTTTCATGAGTGTGTTAAGTTGTAAGTCAGGGAGTTTTAACTTCCTTATGTTGTATTTATCTGCAGTGAAACAATGCTGGCATATTTAACTGAACTAACAATTTTTGACTCCTATTTGCGTGTCATATGAATGAAGGATTAGTCTCATCACTGAATAAATAAAGAGAGGTATCTATTTTTTAAATGTGCTTCATTGTGATAAGCTAAAAGAAGTAGATTTCATACATTTCTGCAGGATTTTCAATACAATCAAATTTATAAAGACGCTAGATTGACATATGTAAATAAATATAAAAACTACGCAACTTTGTGGCTGTCTGGGAAGTATATTATTTAGAGTTGAAACAAAGTGCTTGATTTTCAGTAAAAAATGAACCAGATTTAGTTGATATAACGATTAAATGTGTTTCTCATTAAAATGTTATACTTCAATAAATTCTCGGTTAACTTTTAAACCATATTTAAACACTTTTTATGATAATATTTTACATAAGCTACTTTTGTCAGTGAAGTTGAGGATCTTTTTTGAAAAGACTTAAGCTTAAAGAACGATGAAACTAGAGGACCAATGAAAGGCATTTAATGTCTTATGCTAGACAAAAGTTTAACGGAAATTCAAACTTCATAATAATAGAATAATATTCGTTTTTACAAAAAGATAATTACGGAATAAATAAATCTACTTTGGTTCAATACGTACCATTCATTCTTGCTGAAAATAGTGATGGTGACATTCTAGAAGATAAACACTGAGGGTATTTTGCAACAGATGACTTTCGAGGTCCTTCAGAATAACGTCCTGGACTGGAACCACCTGAACCACCTATGATAGACTCATTTGGCTGATCAAATCGTGGTACATCCAGTGAAAAACTTTTCGTTGATAAAAGAGGATCTGTAAAACAAGAAAAAGTAATGTTATCAGTTTTCATTAGCATTTGTTTGCAATTACTCAAGTGAAAGACACATAAATTTATGTTATCCCATTCAAAAATCAGTTTTAAACAACTTTCTGCATTTAAGGTTAGTCGTTTTAGCTTTAACATCTTAAAAGAGATGATATCTGGACAAATCATCCAACAGCTTGTCAGTGAGAAGATTATGTGTGAATATGTCCACTGGTTTCAAGGACTGAGAAGATTTCTATAATTGTCAGCGCTTGTTAGCCCTTCATTTATGAATATTAGATTCTCTCTTCACTATTTCCAAAAGTTAGTACAGAAGTGTAAATAAAACGATTAGGAATATTTTTCAAAACTTGACGCATCTCACACTACTTTTAGCTGGATAAGTGTTGAACAGATCTGATTAAGGATATTTTCAGCTGAATATTTCATCACTTTATTTCAAACTAGTTTGAGTTGTTTTGTCATCACATAGAGTTTTGATATACATAGCAAAAAACAGCAACAAAACTTCTATACTCATTTCTTAAAATGGATTCTGATAAGAATAAAACCAGTTGGACTGAAAATGGATTTTAACAGTGAGCTGTTTGAACAAATGTTGCAGCAATCTCTATGAAAAGTAATAGTTACTTATAAAAATATTATCAAGATGTCAGCGAGTCTTGAGGACATTTGCATAAATAACTATTACGCTTCTTTTTCATTCTGACGTCTTTATCTGCTGGCTAAAGAAAGTTTTCTTTTTCTGAATAAAAGACATCAGGATGCATATTTTATGCGAAAGTAAGATAAAAATAAATCCGATCACTGGGTTGATGAGACTGTATACAAGTTATATAGTGTTCATGAAAAAAATATCAGTCATTATCATACTATAATTAAAAAGTGAAAATTTTGTAATACTTCATATATACGGAATCAATTCTCGGGAGATAAGGAAACGGATTTCGCCAAGTAGTAAAGATTATACTGGATGAAATTCAATGATTCTAAATCATTTCTTCTCTATCCAATAGATGTGTGAGTAAAGTACACTGATAACATAAAAGCTGTGATAATTATGGAGGTGTCTGTAGATTAAATCACCGATGAACAAGAAAGATTAGAACGAGCGAATTCCACAAAATCTTGAAAATATTTTCTCAGCTACTATGAAATTTGTCAATTAGCTTTAAAAGACACGATTTCATTTAAGTTCGATTAGAATGAAGTTCTTTTCTGAGTTCGTGACATGTAAAAAAACTTTTCGGAAGCGTATCAGCAGCACCATCCTATGTGACACACCACTGATGAGCCCGTAGTTCAAGGGTGAAGAGAGATTTCCCTAATTTATTTTTATTTATTTTGTTTTTATTTTATTTTGATTTACAGCTTGATTCCACACCGTATTTTCAGTACAGGTATGGAATTTTCAGCATGGATATCGGTAGCCCAAATTCAGGCCGACCATAGATATCGGGTGTGCGCCGGCAGGGGATCGAACTCCGGACCATGTGCATGGTCGGCGAGAGTCCTAACCACTGTGCCACCGGATTTGGGTCATGGAAATTTAACTTGCAGTCTTGTCAGGAAACAAATCTGAAAAAGATCGAGATCTGTGACAAATATAAAACATATGGTGCGCTACGTAGAGAAGAAATAGGTCCAGCTACTATTGCGACCCAGGCTTGCTGTAGAATCCATAATGTCATAAATACTGTCTTATGTCACACCTTTTAGATATGACCTTACATTTTGTATGTACAACCCCCCACACTCCTTATTACCGCACTTGTGTAAACAAACTACTTGTTTTCTCGTTTATTTAATTAACTCACACTAACACACACACATAACCTTCTAACCCATTTTGTTTCCATGTTTTTGCAAAATCGTTTATTTATACGAAGTTTGTACTCGGGATGAAGAGAATTCAATATGAACACTGATCGTGACCATTCATTTTTTGTTATTTATGATCATTTAATTCAGAAATCTGATGTTCAACTCAGTGATACACTTATACATATTATTACATAAACATTTTGAGCTATAATCTATCAACGATCCGTTCGCAAATACCTCTTGGAATTTCGATGTCATTGATTCGACGTTATTTTAAAAAAACATTATCGTTGTCACTATCAATAATTCTTTAATTATTACAGATATTTAACTATAGAACCTGATGAAGTTATCGAAAAAAATATTCTTTGTTTGGTAATCAGTCTTTTGAAATACAAAATCCCTACTTATTTTGATGTCCCTGATTTTCCCGTTTGTCTCCAAAAGTATCACTATTTTGACCATAGATACATTTTTCCATACATACATTCTCTTGCCCTACCATGGCCAGAGGAAAGTTCTTACTACAATTTTGCTTCTTTCCTTTATTATGTAGGTTCACTATTATTATTAATACTTTTATTATCATTATTATTCCCATCATCCACATTTTATTAATAACATTGCGTTTTCATACAGATTTTATACTAAAACACTTTATAGCCTTTCCACTAGTTCCTGTCCATTCTACACGAGCTTACTGATTAGCCATTATCTCACACTTATTAAATCATGCCAACTTCTGTTTCCTTTCTAACTTACAATTAGTCATCCCTTCTTACACCTTACATTATGTAATACATTTTTTCAAGGACAAAGTTTACCAGTATCTGATTGGCCTAAAGGTTTCTTTGTTAATTATAATTACGATTGTACAGCTCATGAAAATGAATCGTCGAAAAGAAAATTTTCTTCGCTGTTTGTGCCTTTTTCTTATTTTTCTATCTCACTGCATTTCAGCTGACCTTTTGAAGTATAACCTTGTATTCGATTACTTCATCGATTTACAGATTTTACTCGTATCATTATCATTTCTAGTTGCATGGTATAAATACCAAATTTCAAGAAGTATATTAGCACTCCTAAAGCTACTACAGTTTGCTGAGTTGTATTTATATTCATCTTCACACATCTGCAACCTACTTGAGCTCATTTTCAGAAAAGTCAAGATTAAAGTCTAACTTAACCATGCTGTAAGTTTTTGAAGGTATCCACAATAAAACCCGAACGATTTGACTATAATTTCCCTCAATGATTCTCTGACTAGTTTATATAGGGCTACAGGTGGTCAATAACTTTTGAGTGGTTTTATAAAAAATTAAAATTAAGACCAAGTAGGCTAACAGGACAGTTATTTTGCGACGTCACTGGCTGGCGTTTGAGATATGTGTGGATATACACGTATATATCGCGGATCAGCAGATGTTAGAAATCATGGGTCATTGGATCGAGTCCCTCTGGTTGACACGTCTACAAGCTCGCTTTATGACAGAGAAGTGTTATGTTTGAACCCCTGGCAGGTGAAAACTACTGAAGAAACCGAAACTAGAACAGAATAGCTGTTCAGCACTCCCTTGTTTTCCAGTGGTTCTCTAACTAATGCCAATTCGTGACCAAACTTGTAACTAATCAAATCCCTGCAAACAATTGCTTGAAAATCAATGCTGAATTCAAATAATTTGAGTAATATTTTGTAGCCATGTTCTCCTGTTTAAATTACAGTTTTGTTTAAACTTGTAAAGAGTTTCATTTTGCAGCCTTATATTGTCATTAACATTCTGTTTTTAACTATTAGATGAGTCGTAAAAGAGTTATAACAGTGACTTGAATTCATTCACAAATAGTTAGCTGAAGAATTATACGTTAATGTACTCGAAAACCTAATATTGTTAGATTCTTTACACACCCAATATTATTAAAATTCATCTGATCTGTACGATTTAGAGTTAGTTCTTTTCAATTCACTTTTGGTTTTCCCGTTGATTGATTGAACCTAAATGTTCGGCCTCCTTCAATATATCGGGTCCTTATGCGGATGCTTCTAAGATGTCTGAGGATTAACTTGAACTAATTTTATGGATAGTAATTGTCAGTGGAATCCAAATGGCCTATTAGATAACGCTTTGGCTTTGAAATGAGGGGTACTGGGTTCAAGCGTCAGTGGGAAAATCATCAATTACAGAGAATGCGAATACATCCGGGTGACAAGTGTTGAGTACGACGAAATTAGCATCCTGGATTCGTCTGCTGGTCACCACTCACCAAATTACTTAGATTTAGAGTCATCTTGAGGAAAATCTGGATTAGATGTGTATATTAACTCAGTGAAATACTTTTGCTTCACTTGATTGGTTCAGAAACCTTAAAAGCATAATCTCGTCACCAAGACGAATTAAATTCCATACATTTAGAAAATAAGCAAATGAATTTCTCAATTTAATAGCAGTAATTTTCAAATTCTTACATAATATACCTATAACACGAATGTTTATTTAATAGGTATGCCTGATAGTAATAAACACTTATATATGTTTATGTCCACGCTAATCAAACAGAGTGATGACATCTCCACTAGGTAGGAAGGTAAATAGATTTATCTTATTTCATTTCAGTAAGACTATTTTCTAAAAAATAATTGAAATTTAATTATTTTGTTGTTAGAAAAATCTTAGATGAAGTCCCATGATATCACATTATGGTTGCATGAGTGTGAAATCAGTTGATAAAAGGAAATGGATACTAGGCAAATAGCTCGTAGAAGTATCTTTTATCTCTCTTGAACAAATGCACACATGCATATCGATGAAAGAAAATCACTATAGGGCTTTCTTTTATTAAAATTTTAATGAATTTCCTTTCTTCTTTTTGTTCTACCTTAGTAATTAATCTTTATTTTTGACATTCGTGAATAGTTCTGACGTTCATGAGTTAGGCTGGATACCCAGAACAGAAATGAAAATCAGAAAAGACAGAAAATGCAAATTAATTTTATTTTCGTAAGCAACTAAATATGAATATAAGTCAACAATTGGGTATTTGAATGAATGATTACACTTTTCTAATGTGTGTCCATTGGAACTTTTTCAAAAGTTATCATCGTGTGTCATGTAGAGAGTGTTACTAGAGCTGACAGTTTGATAATAGTTACAACTTGCTATGAACT